TTCTTTCATCTTCAGCTCCCTGGGTCTCACTGTGTCAGACTGTCCTGTATACAGCTGGAAGACAATGTAGAGTAGATTGATTTAGCAGCAAGTCCTTTTGCGTCCTGGTTCGTTAGTGTTTAAACTTTGTATCTTGAAATGGCTCCTTCTCATGTGAAACCTGATGTGGGAAAAGAGTTTGAGAAATGGGGGAAAAATCATTTTAATTGTGCCAGGGAGTTTTCAAATTAAAGAGGTCCTGGGTAGAGTGAGAGACTCTTTTTGCAAAGCAAGTGATCCTCCCCTAATTTATATTTGTGTGTGTATGTATTTGTTCTACAGATTTTTTTGCTTCGGTATAATATATCCCTGGACACACTACTTTTTTAAAAGAGCTTATTGGGAAACTCTAAAGAAACAAATCATTTTAATGTCTGTCGGCACTCTGATGTGAACAAGGGGTTTGTCCTGTAGTCCCCCCTTCCCCCCCCAGGTCAGCAGCTGTTCAAGATTGCCGATTAGGTGCCTAAAAGACCTTCTTTTCTCTGCTTCTTCGTATAAGAAACCTTATTGTGTCCCCGCTTGTATGAGATCCTTGTATTTTAAGGCTGACTCCAGGTGTCTTTTTCAAGAGGCAGGCAAAGACTTCTCCAAAGGTAAACTTCATAAAGCAAGGGAATGTGCCCTAAGCAAAGAGACCAAGTGGGGTTCTCTTTTTAAAATTGCGTTCTCCATTGGAAGACAATGAGGTGCTCAGCTGTCTGGGCAGACAGTGGGGTTTCTGCAGATGATGTCTTTGGGATTTACTGCTGGCTCAAGACAGGTACACTGGCTGGTCCTGTGGGGGGAGAGCATGCCCAGGCTTTCTAGCCTCCAGCTGACTCGCCCAGCTACTGCTCCCATGAGTCTTACTTAATGCAGTGGGTTAATTTGCACCCCTTCCAACTCATCCAACTCAGAATCAACCCAATTGGGACCAATACTTGTATTTCCAATGGTGAATCAGCTCCCCTGAAGAAGGACGAAAATGGCTCCCCCTTCAGTTTTATCAAGGCCCTCCCGCGTTGTCCCCCGCCAAGTGCCCTGCACATAAGCATTCTCTCTATCCCTCCCTCCCCACCAAATATCTAGTCAGGGACCACTCGGCATCCCAGGCCCTACATAGGTGGTGAGTGTTGGGGTGTTGAGACTGGTCTTATCTACAATTCCTTCATTAATCTCTTTCACAATCCTTTGCACTGGATGGGGGAGGGACAGGAATGGAGGGAATGTACCAATTTCCTTCACATCAATGGGATGATAGTACCAAGGTTGGAAGGCACTGCAGAGGCCATCTAATACAGCCTCCCCAAGGCCCAAGATAGGGCGCTCACCTGCCCATTCCACCCCCTTCCGTTGTATTCTCTTCCTCCTCGATGTTTGATGACCCTCCCTGACCTCTGCGCTGTCCCTCTCTGCCCTCCTAGTGACAAAGCATCTTCTTCGGACTCCTTGGATCTCCCCTGGGGACCCACACTGGCACTTCTCTGTGAGTGCCACCAGCCAGAAGAGGAAAGTGCCAAGAATCCTGGCCCCAGCCGTGTCGTTGGAGATGGGGATTGGAAGAGGCTTCCTCGTACCGAGCACCCACCCATCACCAAGGACCAAAATGGGGTCAGGGCTTTGAGCAGCACTCTGGGCTTCCTTTCACTTGTGCTAATCCTTGTGATATCCTTGGCTGGAAGCAATGGACTTTGTTTTTCCAAGACACAAGCCTGTCTGAGGTCTGAATGGTTCAGGAACCATCTTGAAACTTGAAAGCAGGCATTTATTTGCTTTTGTTCTGGGAAATTCGCTTTCTGAACAAACTGACTCTGGCAGTGGTCAGATGAAGAGTTTTATGGCCTGCAGCTGATTTGGATTTCTCTGAAGCACTTGGAGGTGTCATTCTGTTGGAGGGATCCATCTGAGCTACTTGGGGGCTAGGGGGAGAAGGGGAGAGGCAATTGCTCTCCAAGAGAAGCATAGGTAATTGTCTCTGTGCATCCTTTTTGGAAGTCTCAGGGACTCCCCCCCTCATCCCCACCTTGCCTCTCCCACACTCCTACCCCCTGGTTGAGGAACACCCAAAACTTAAGGAGTCTGGCCCAGATAATAGAAACGCTTGTGGAATGAAAGGGGGAAGGGGAGAATCCTTGTGTCGGCCTTATCTTTCATGTGCTTGGTCAGTGAGAATTTCAAGGGCTTTCACTGTGGCCCTAGGAGCACTGGGTGCCATGGAGGGTGATGGCCTTGAAATCATGGAAGCCTGGATTCAAATCCCACCTTGTATACTTACTTGTGAACTCCTGAGCCTCAGTTTCTCCTTTTATTCCCCCTGTCTCCAACACACACTTGCTTTGTGACCCTTTGCGTCTCGCTGCCGTAGGCAACTCTCCAAGTCTCTGAGTTACGGTGTAGGTACCAATCTGCATTGGTACAGGGGGGTTCCTCACTGGGAGACTTCTCTGTCAAAGTCACAGGCCTTGTCCCAAAGGAAAGAAAAGATGACTTCACAAAGGAAGTAGAGAAATGAGGCACTGTGTGTATGTAAAGTGCTTTGCCAAGCCCAGAGCTCTTTAGAAATGTTGACTGTTGGGGCAGCTCAGTGGTGCAGTGGATAGAGCACTGGCCCTGGAGTCAGGAGGGCCTCAGACACTTGACACTTAGTAGCTGTGTGACCCTGGGCAAGTCACTTAACCCCACCGTGCCTAGAAAAAACAAAAGAAAGAAAGAAAGGTTGACTGAGTTATTTCATAACTCATCTTTGCAGATGAGCATAAACAGTAAAAGTGGCCTGAGAGGAAGTTACTGTCCTGCTATGATTGTTTTATATTCCATGGTCCACAGACTGGGGCTCCCATGGATAAATAACTACCTTTTTTTAATAATTGAATAAAACTATTGGGATGTCAGCTCATCGTCTGTAGGTTCACTGGAAGTATCCTAGGAGAAGCCCAAACAGCAGACAGCTCAAGAAGGAGTGAACCTCATGTTATCAAGAATATTCACAGCAGCATTTGCTGCTATTCTGAACAGTGCTGCCTCTCTGACCCTTCTCCAAACCCTCCATTCCAAGGAAAGGAGTTAATGACTATCTCCATTTCCCCTAGAATGGCGTCTGTGCAGGCCTCGATCAATTTCAAGGCCTCTCCAATCTCTCTGTGTTACTCAGGACAAAGAAGGAAGTCAGGACTTGACCCAGAGGTGCTTTCCTCCAACATAAAGACCTGCTTCCTCCTCCTGACCCTGTGCAGAAATGTTCCTAGACATCGAGAATCTCCACACAAACATGGCCCATCACTTCAGCCGCATGGATTTGAATATCTGCAGGCATGGAGAAAATAGATGTCCTGCACCCCACCCCCACCCTTTCAGGGATGGCCATCCACAAGGAGATGGGCCTGCAACAGTCCATCAAAACCCGCCAGGGCTAATGATGGGCTGGGCTGATAATCGGGGGCGAGTTAATTGTAAGGTTCGATATGGCATCTTGTCAGCCGAGATAAGTTGTCACGTTTTCCACTTGAGCTGAAACTAAATGATTGTAAAGTAAGTTATGAGTGTCCTTGGGCCTGTCTGCCGGAATGATGGCTAAGAATACATTGCTGGCCCATCAGTCTCTAGCAGGCTGTTTGATATTTATGCGAACGGAATGTTATTTTATTCTGCCTCCAGTCATGCTTGTCATCTTCCCGAGTGAAAAGTGAAACGGCTTGTGGAGCTCATGCTTCAAGGATTGAAGCTCAGAGAAGCTGCAGATTGTTATTATTATTGCTGGTATTATATATTTTTTGGGGTGTGCGTTGAACATTGATGCCCGATTGGGAAGAACTAATGGCTGACATTGAGCACGCGGGCTGGTGGCAGAGCAGACGCATCACACGGTGCCGCTGCCTCCGTCGGACCCGGTTGAGATGTGGAGTAATGAGGCGCTGGCTTTTTTTAATTCGGCATGCCTTCTTTTCCTCCCCTTTCTTCTCCCCCCTCCTTCTTCCATATTTAACACTGTCGGCAGTGGCCGTTCATTTCTGTGCCCTGTAATTGATACAAAATAAAATGCATTATTTGTATTCACTCCAGAGGATGAAATTGCATCCAGTGGGCTGGAGCTGGGAGTCATTTACAGTTTCCTGAAGCTGGGTCTTTCAGGGGCCCACTCTCTTTTCAATTTGAGGAATACCTTGTCAGGCAAGAAGACTATTCAGAAATGGAAATGCACAGCTTGGAAGCCTCATACACTTGGGTTGCTCATCTTTTAAACCCAGAGAATGTTAAACAACCTCTGTCTTAAGAGGGTGATCTCCAAAACTAGGCTCTAAGGGTATTAATAACACTTGCAAGTGAACACAGCGTTCTGTTAACCAGAAATACAGGACTCATCTGTAAGCAGAAAGAAGTGGGCATAGATGGCTGGGATGACATGCTCTCCAATGTCTTTTAGAATTTAGAATTCCCTGATCTTAGGAGAGAGACAGAGAGCGAGAGACACACAGAGAGAGACACAGAGAGAGAGACAGAGAGAGAGGAGAGGGAAGAAAGACAGAGACACAGAGACAGACAGAGGCAAATACACTAGATAGATGAATAGTCAGACAGACAGACAGATATACAGACACTGGCAAATAGACTAGATAGACAGATGGATAGAGTTAGACAGACAGATGGATAGGTAAATGAATAGGTAGACAAGATAGATGGAAGGAGAGATGGAAGGAGGGATGGATAGATGAATGTAGAGACACAAGCAAATAGATTAGATAGATGGATAGAGAGATAAACAGGTAGGTAGACAGACAAACAGGATAGAAGGCTAGCTAGATAGACAGACAGACAGGTTTCTGTCTTATTGAACCTGGGATCTCTTCAGTGTAGGGAATGTTATCAAAGCAGATCAGTACCTGCTCTGCCCCATGTAGTCTCAAAGAAAGGTGTATTGAATAGAATTGAATTACAGTTCATTTTAACGAGCATTCTTTTTCACTTTTCTGTGTGAATTGCAGATACAGGTTTGGGAGATTCAGTCTGTTCAAGCCCCAGCATATCCAGCACCACAAGTCCCAAGCTCGATCCTCCGCCTTCCCCTCATGCCAACAGGAAAAAACACAGACGGAAGAAAAGTACCAGCAATTTCAAAGCAGATGGACTCTCGGGCACAGCTGAAGGTAAGGAGGCCACGCACCTTGGGGAAGCTACAGTCCCATTGGCTGCTGATTTGTTTTTCTAATGTGCTGTTAAATAGCAGCAGCATGCCTTCATGGGTCATGTGGGCTGAGTTTGGAGAAAAGAAAACCTGGGTTCAAATCCTGCTTCTGACACAGTGTAATAGCTAGGTGACCCTGGGTAAGTTACTTTACCTTTTTGTCCTAAGGAACTTTCCTAGACCTGATCTACTAAGTCATGAGTGGGATATAATCTCTGTTGGTGAAGGGGGTTCCCTATCCCAATGAAATCACAACTTCCTTGTGAATTCATGTTAAGTCACTTGGCTCTTAAAATAGCAAGGTCACAAGAAATGCTGTTCAAAGTATTGTTGTTAATGTGTGAGAGCTGCTGCCTCCACTTTGCTAATGGCCAGAAACCCTTCATCCTCAAAGGTGTTGAGCACAGAGAGAAAGCTCCTGGCCTCTAGTCCCTGACACTACAAGGCTGGGGTGGTTCCATAATGCCATGTCTTCCCCCTCACACTGACACATACCAATGTGGGTTAGTCTCCTTAATAAATCCCATTTACAAAGACGCGATGCCACCATCCCAGTGACGCAGAAGGACACTGCAGAAGGTCCTGCAGCCTTTAAAATGTCCACCATCATGTGTCGCCCACTCCATCTCTTTATTGGAGGTCTGACATGGAGGCATGCCAGCTTTGGAGGCAGAAGACCTGGGTTTGAATCCTGGTTCAACCACTAACTCCTTGGTGACCTAGGGCAAATCACATGACCTCTCTGGGCCTCAGTTTCCTCATTAGTAACATGAGAGGTTTAGATGAGAAGCCCTTTAAGGTCTCTTCCAGTTCTGAGTCTCTACAAATCATAGTCTTGGGACGTGGCCGAGGGCACAGAGGTGAGCCCACAAAGTCACGTCATAGTGGGACTGGAACCTAGGTCTTTCTGGCTTCCAGGCTGACTCATTAGTGTCTCTATTGACAACCAAGAATGTTCATCCCCGTGCGCTTTACCAAGCTACTCGAATTAATTCTGAGAGAATTGAGTAGCATGTAGGGACTATATGGATATACAGTCTTTACATGGTCAACCATGGCCACTCAACTGAATTCTAAGAGAACTGGGTAGCATGTAAGGACAATGTAGGTAGCCTGAATTGTCACTGCTTCCCTGCCTGCTCTGAATTCTTCCAGATTTCTACTCCCTTTTTATCCATTTCAGTTACATTCTACAGTAAAGCATATTGGAGGCAAGGAGGAAGGACCAGAAAGTTGTGGGGTCAAACCAGGGCTCTGCCATTCACCTCCCTCAGAAGGAGAATCCTTTCTTTGTTTCGCCTGTTTCATCTGGAATGTTGCTGCAGTTCCTGGCCCTGCCTGTATCATAGAGAAATTGTAAAACTAAAGTGTGGCCACCTCCTTAAATCATGGGTGAAACTCTTCAAATTCCTCACAAAAAGCCGAAGTGTGACTGCTCTGATCTGGGGGCAGCAGTGGCCATTCTGCCACCTCTGCCCTGTCCCCAGTTCCACTTCAGGCCAGGCTCAAACTGGGAAGACAGAGAAACGTTGCTCTGTGTCTTGGCTTGACCATTCCCAGCGACAAGCAGCAATGCTCTTTTTCTAAGAAAATACCTTAAGCGGCTGCCGGGATGGCACTCCTGATTCTTTTGCTTGTCTTTTGTTTTGACATCAGCGTCATTTGACCAGCAAGCATCCTTTGGAACAGAGACCATTGAAGGGGGTGGAGGGTGGGGACAGTTCAGTGCAATTAAACATCACGTGGCAAAGTCTGATGGCGCCATTCCATGCTCTCTCGAGATGGGCGGGGAGAACGCCTTCTGATCACACTTCTTTGGGACCATGCTCAGGCATTCTCATTTCCCAGTACTCAGGGTCCCTCATTCTGGAGTTGGTGCTCTTCCCATTGACATTATTGTGGTCACTGGGTGTAACTGTCTGATTCTCTTGGCGTTCCCCTGCTTGAGTTCGTGTGCCCTTCCACATGTCTCTGTCTTCTTCCCATTGGTTGTTTCTTAGCATGTCATATCCATGCAGTACTTTAGCCGTTCCCCAGTGTTGCAGCCACAGGTTTTGGGCATCTGCTTTGGTCCCGGCTCTTTGCCACCGCAAAGGTGCTGCTGTGATGTCTTGGTGTCCACAGAGTCGTTCTTTATGCTGCGTTGGCTTCCTTGGCAGCCTCTTTGCTGTCTGATGGGCCATTCTATCACTATCCCATTGCATGGGGTGATGAAAAAGTCTCTCCATACCGAGTGACCCCTGGTAAAAGAGGAAAAAAACCCTCCTCATGCTCATATTCCATCTTTCCAATAGCAAATTGTTCATATCAAACACTCACTAACAATAAAAAAAACCAAACACCTTATTCCTTTTGGGGAACTACATGATTTGGTGAAATGAGCCTTGGACCTGAAGTAAGGAGATACATGGGTCCAAATCCCAGCTCTAAGTCCAGCTGTATGACTTTGGGCAAGTCACTTAACTACTGTATTGTCAGTTTCCTTATCTCTGAATTGAGGGCAGTGGGGCCATCTTCTTTCCAAGGGCATCTCAAGGAAAGCACTAAAAAGAAGGGATTTGTGAAATGAGTGCCACCCTTTGAGTTTGGGGATCAGAGGATGATGGAGACCTGGAAAGGACCTCAGAGACCATCTAGTGAAATCTCCCCATTTTACAGAAGAGGACAGTAAGGGTCTCAGTCTCATGATGTAGAGCTAGAAGGGACCAACCCCCTCATTGTCCAGTTGAAGAAACCGAGCCCCAAGGAGTCTTTCCATTTTCACTTGGAATTGGGCAGCCAACTCAGTGTGGGGCCGCAGGTACTCATTTCCTAAACCAGGGAGGGAATGGCAGATAGCATGGACCCTGAGCTTCCAAAAGACCCGGGAAGGTGCTCCTGGTGCATCTCCCCAAGGGGATAGGCTAGTGACTGGAAATATTATCTACACGTGGATGAAAATCACAGAAAGTTCCCCACACGTGCTCCCTTTGGTCAGTCAACAAGCCAGACGCCAAGCCATGTGCTGCGCACTGGAGGCGCAGAGACAGAAGCAAAACCGATCCTGCCCCCGAGGAACTTATTTACTATTGAGGGTGACAGTGTGTACCTCTATAAGCAGATACAAAGTACATTTAAAAGGTAATTTAAGGGGAAAGCTCTAGTATCAGGGCCAATCAGGAAAGGCTTCCAGGAGATGGCACTTCAGCTGAGCTTTGAAGAAAACTAGCTATTTAAAAGTCAGAGGTGAGGGAAGGGCACTCCAGGCATGAGGTCCAGCCAAGGCAAAGGCATAGTGATCAGAGACAGACTGAAGGATTCTCAGAACCAAAGGCAGCCAAGGCATCCACAGCCTCAAAGACAATCCCAGAAGCCTTCAGTTATCTCTATATGAGTCACCTATTGCCTGAAGTTTAAGGAAGTCATTAACACAGGCATGTTTTCAGGGAGGCTTGTGGACAGTGAACTTTAAAAATTCAAAGTTTACAAAGAAACTCATGTGACAGGAATCACCTACGTCTTTGCTTTCTTGAAATAAACAAATAGCTGCTCTGTGGAAATAGTATTGCCAATTTCTCCAGAGACAAGAAAGCTGCCTGTCCATTCATTAAATGTTTACTATGTGCTCCTTGCTAGAGATACAAAGACAGAAGTGAACAGTCCTGCCTTAAGGGAGCCTGTAGTCTTATCTAGAAAGCACCCAGGGTTCAACCCCAAAGAGCACAAGAAAATTCTGGGGTCACTTTCCCTGAGACATTTTGGTTTCTATCAATACCCATTGATTGAATTATAATGTATTGAATTAAATGCAAACTGCATTTATTATTTCTGTCAAATAAACATTTCATCACCTTAGAAGGTAATGAAGATGCATTTTTAATTTCTAATTTAAGTCACACTCAGTCATCTTGGGTTCTCTTGTGCTAATTAGAGCTAAATGTCCCAGTGACCAACAAATAGGGCTGTATGAGGAATCGCGTTTCTACATAGAGGAAAACTCTTTAGATCCTAGTCAATTTTCAGTGTCAGGAAACTTTTAGAGGATTTTTTTTTAACATACCTACTACAAGACTGACGCTCACAGGAAATGTGTTTGGGAAAGGGAGAGCAGCATTGTTGTTCATATCGTATGGGCATGAAGGCAGACCCTGAGTCTTCAAGTGAAAGAGAAAACCTGCCATTTCTCAGGGATTTCAGACTGTTCATTTAAACATATTTTGATACTGTGGCCTCTCTCGATTGCCTGCTCCTTAGAAAAGGCGATAATGTTAAAAATTGTGTAACATCAGCATTTATGGGGCACAGAAATATCAGGACCGAGCTCGTCCAAATTAGCAAGATTGATACAGATGAAGTGATCTTTTCCATCTAATGGAGAAAGTGCCCAAGTGTGGCTCTGAGCGTTCATTCCACCCTAATTGTTACAATGTTTCTGTTTATTTCCCCATTCTATTTGTTCTCTTAACTCCAGCTTTTATTACACTGTTAAATATCAACAGTTAAATTCTGTGCCTGGGAACAGCAGACGCTAAGGTCTCATTTCAACAGATAGGTGTCTCCTCACATTTAAAGGGTTTTTAAGGTTTTGTTGATTTTTTAACACGCTAGTTGTTTGTCCTGACACACACGTAGTCTCCCTTATAACAAAGACAAACGGCTCCTCAAAACCGGCTGAAAGAGTGACCACATTCAGGACAACATATGTAAAACTCCATGCCCGTTGTCCACCACCTCGCTATTGAGAAAAGAGGCCGTGTTTTATCAGCCATCATCAGAAACCAAAATCGATCTTTGCCATTTGTATGCTGATGCCTGGTAGGATCGTTTTCAGTCATGTTGTGATTGTCATGGTGAAATGTTGTTCTGCCTCGCTGCCGTCTTTGCTCTGTATCTGTTTGTTCATCCAGGTCTTCCCACGTTTCTCTGAATTCCACATAAGCGTTACTTCTTAGAGCTAGTCCATTACATTCGTATACTATAGTT